GCCCAGTCCCGGGTTTATTTCTACACTTTTAATTTTCCTGGGCCTCCTGAGCAGCGGAGACGCTGGAGAGCAGGGTGGTCAGTCCCGAGACACTTCACAGGACTTGGTCTAAATAGCACTGAAGAGCTTACACCAATGATTGTCTTAAAAGTATTTCAGGTTTTACAATTCCTCTTTTAGTTCAGCGTGCATCAGGAGGGATGTTTTAATGGGAGAGTTAATTAAGGATGATGCCAGTGCCTCACACCTGTACAGTTCCCTTCTGCAGCACAGCACGCGGTGCCGGAGCTCCCGTGAAACCCCGAGCTGTGCCAGCTGAAGGACTAGCTTTTCCTTAATAGTTAATAACCCCTTAATTTGATTTAAAAGACTCTTTTTTTTCCACTGGAGCCCCCTGAACAACCCCCAAAGATGCTTTTACTTAGGCCAGCGTGGGCTGCAGCAGGAGAGAGAATGTCTCAGCCAGACAGGCCGGTGGAGGGGAGGGGGGGATCATGGCACAGTTCAGAGGGCTCCTCCGCTGCCACTGGGATTTCCTACAAGGGGGGGGTCACAAGCCCTTCCTTCTCTTGGGGTGGGAGCTCTGGCTGCCCAAGGCTCTCTCCTCCGCTGCCACCGGGATTTCCTACGAGGGGGGTGTCACAAGCCCTTCCTTCTGCTGGGGGTGGGAGCTCTGCCTGCCCAAGGCTCTCACCCACCGGGCAAGGGCAGACCCTCTGTGCTGGAGTTACAGGCACTGGGTCGGGCTCTGCTGAATTGGGGGGGGTGAAGTAGCTCCAACAAACCCGTGAGCTAACGCCAGAGCTGGGCTGAGGTCAGAGTCCACCACGAGCCCTGGGGAGGTCCAGGCCCACAGCAGCACCGCGGCAGCGTCACCGGCCACCCCTGTCCCCAGCCCCGGCGGTGCCGGGGGGGTTCCCCGTGGGGTGGGGGCGAGGGGGACACCACTCTCGGTACGGACGGGTCTCGCTGGTGCTGAACTATTTCACTTACCTCAATTTCTTTTAATAAAAAGAATGAATTCCAGCTCTTGTTGCCGGGAGTGGAAATCTGTCACCCCTTGTCTTGTGTGTCCTCGGGGAGCTCTGCTGCTCCTTCAGGCAAGAGCACGGAGCTCCGTGTGGCACCTGCCAATGCCAGGAGGATGGAGCCTGGTGGTCCTGGCTGTGCCCCTCACCTGGGCCACTGGGGCTCCTCCACAGCCCCAACCTCCTGCCAGGTCCACCATGTCCCCTTCCTGTCCCTGGCAGCCAGAGGAGCCACAGGGGCAGAAGGACCAGCTCCTCATCCCACCATGGTCTCTGCCCAACTCCCAGCCCACAGACGCCATCCCGGGGAACCACGGGCAGGTCCTGTGCCTCCTCCAGGGATTTCTTGTCCCCTGTAATGTCACAGGGACTGAAACAAGCAGAAAGGAGCTGGCCCCAACCCCAGCAGCTGCCTCTGAGGGTGGTGGGAGAAGCTCCAGGACCCCTCTCCCCGGGGTTGTCCCACCAGCAGCCACTGGAAACAAACCCCCAGGACCTTTGATCAAGGGTTGTCCCCTGGTAACGGGGGGGGCTCAGTACAAACCAGCACCTCCCACACCTTCCCACGTGAAAGGTGATGGACATCACACTGACGTGTTACACTGGACCAATTCAGCAAAGCCAGTTATTTCCAGTATTTCATTTCTCAAACCAGAATCCGGAGAGTTAAAAACATAAATCACCTTAACAAACATAAGATAATTGGGAGGGGGTGAGGAGACAGACCCTACTGAACTCCCGAAATGCATTTAAAACTCTTTAGCCTAAAATATCTACACATTAAAATGCCAAGAAAAGAAGTACCAAAGCTGTAAGCTCTCAAAAGCCCAAGATCAAAGTGCCATCATCTTTTAATGTAAACCTTTTGTTGCATCAACAGTCTTAAGAGGGATGAGAGACATCAAAATAAAAACTGAGACAAACTGTGGCTTTGTAGCTGTTTTTTGTTTTAGTCTCTTCTCTCAATTTGGGCCATGAAATAGGTCAGCTCCATTACTGATCAGCCTTCCCACAAATATTTAAAACAAATTGAATTGCACACCCAATACCCATCACAATTACGCCAGGCACAATAACTAAATTAGCAATTCAACAAAATAATTGGAAATGCGATTCTCTCTATTCCACAGCCTCCCTCAGGGGTTTGGCCGATCTATGGGGGGAAAACTCTGCTTTACTAATTCTGCAGCTAATTAGAGACACACTTGTAAATGAAGTTGTTTGTCTGAAAGTTGAAATTCTTTGCTATTGTGGGGTTTGGGGGGGGGATTAACACAACCCTCTGTCCCCCCATCAGTCCCCAATACACCTTCTCGTCGCCGCGCGATGGTTTGCAAAGGTACAATGCCCCTTTGTGTAGGTACTAATTAGCAGCTGTATCATGAATTAATAAAGAATTAATATTCTATTGGGGGGGGGGGGAGGGAGGGAGTTTCTCACTTACTGTTAATTGACAGCATTAAGAAAACTTAGTGGCAATCAATCACCCTGGTTACCTGGGCCCTTATTAAACAGCGCTCGGAGCTTCTGACCCGCAGTATCAGCCACCAGCTCCCAGTGGGGACAGGAGCTGCCCCAGTTCACCCAGACTGGGGGTTACTGGTGTCTGGCCTCCCCTTCCCTGGCCTCTGTGCACCCCGGGGGGCTGCAGGGTCTGGGCTGTCCCCAGGGCCATGCAAGGTGCCACCAGAGCCACCAGAGCCACCGCTGCCCCGTGGCCGTGGAGCTGCTCCGTGGGGATCGTGGCGGCTGCGCCGTCTCCCACAGCATGTGCTATTCCAGGTGAAGGGGGCATTTTTCACACTGGGACCCCAGCTCTGACCCACCAGTGGGGCTCAGAAGATGAACCAGGGGCCTCCTAAGCTGCAGCTGCCAGCCTGGGGTCTCCCCAAGTGTCACACTGCCCAGGTTGGGGGGGTCAGGGAGAAAAGCCTGCTTAACCACTGATAAGTAAATTCAAAAGCACGCTTAGTAGGGCTTTGACTCTTATCTCTTCAAACAATGCCAACGAGAAGTTTATCATCACATTTAAAGTGTTTCATATTACCCTTTTAACATTACATCCTGCTCTCGCTCAAAAAAAAAAAAGAAAAAAAAATACTAAAATCAAGTATCCTGGTGCTACAGCTGTAAAGGACAGAGAAGTGGGGTGGGAGTGGGGGGGCAGGTACCATGTCCCCGAGCCACAGCCACACACGGGGCAGAACACACACCCGACGTGGGGACACGGCGCTCGCTGTGAGACACCCTTAACACTTGCTCTGACCCTTCCACCCACACAAACTTTGGCAGCAGCCCATTTCCTCCCCTCGCTGCCTTTCAGAATCGGGGTTATTAAACCATGAGATGTCAGTGCCACTGGAAGGCCACGCGGCTTTGCTGCCGCTCGGGAACCAGGGGCAGGTAAAGGCCAAGGGGAGGGACAGGAGACGTGGCCCCCGGCACGTGGGTCGTGCCAACACCGTAGGGTGGAAGGTGCCACTGGGTCATGCTGGTTCCTGCTAGTTGCCAGAGAGCAGGAATTGCCAGGGTGGGGGGACAGGAGGTGACAGTGCCAGGATTTGCCATGGATGATGGTTACACCCCCGTGGGTGAAGCTCTCAGCACTGGAGCAGCCCCCTGACAGGTACCACACTAAACCAAACGAGCCACCTGGCTAATCACCATGGGATTGCTCCTCACAGCCTGGGCCAGGTGTCCTACACCTCCACCTTCCCTGTAGCCATCGACCCTTCAGGCCCATCTCCCCCTCGAGCTCTGCCCGTGACCCCCCTGTGGGAGGGTTGGGCTTCACCGGGCTCTTTGCCCAACAGAAGGTCATTAGTGGGCGGCTGAAATAAAAAAAGGCAGTTGAGAGGAGCCCATGGTGACATTCAGAGTGCTGCCACCTGGCAAATTTTGCCCCAAAAGCTGAGCTGGAGGGGACGGGAGGAATCAATGCATGTCCCCAAGAGCTGCAGCTCCCACTTGGCCGCAAGCAAGGGGAGAGATTTATCCACCCGTGATCCGCGCGTTCTCCACACAAAGTCAATACTCAACACTTACCTTCTAAAGCTGAGGAAAATGCTCTGTTCCCACACGGGGCAGGGAGCTGCTGCCTCATCCCACCTGGAGAGAGAGAGCTCCTCGCCCAAGGGAACTGCTTCTGTCACCAGGGTCTGGCCCCTCACGTCACACTGCACCCAGCTGTCCCCATTCTCGGGGGGCAGAACTCAGCCAGAACTGCATCCATACACAGCTGTGCTTTTTTTCCCCCACTTTTAAACCCAGAATGTCACCCACCAACCACAGCTGAAGCCACGTCTCTGCAGAGGAGCTGGTTCTGCCTTGGCCTTTGCTCCGCTCAACACTGGAGGTGCTGGGAAGCTGGTTCCTGGGAGCAGGTGATTCGAGGGGAGGCTTAGATCTGCAATGACGAGGTGCAAAATTGATTAATTAGTATCAGCCCTGCAGACAGCTCCAGGGAAGGCCACAGAGAAAGTCTTCTAAGGGGGAAAAAAAAGGCCAAAACCATCAACCCATAGAATGGTTTCAGGTGGGAAGGGACCTTGAAGTGCCCCCAGTGCCACCCCCTGCCCTGGGCAGGGACACCTCCCACCAGACCAGGTTGCTCCAAGCCCCCTCCAACCTGCCCTTGAGCCCCTCCAGGGATGGGGCAGCCCCAGCTTCTCAGGGCAACCTGGGACAATGTCTCACCACCCTCACACCAAACAAGTTCTTCCCCAGATCTCATCTCCATCTCCCCTCACAGGTTGAAGCCATCACCCCTCAACCTGGCACTACACACTCTTGTAAAAAGTTGCTCCCCAGCTTCAGATACTGGAAGGGGCTCTAAGGTCTCCCCGGAGCCATCTCTTCTCCAGGCTGAACCCTCCCAACACTCTCAGCCTGTCCTCCCAGCAGAGGAGCTCCAGCCCTCCCAGCATCTCCGGGGCTGCTGGTACCTTCCCTGCACCCATCACACTGGGCCCATCAGTTTACGAAGCGTTTTAATTAGAGCGCGTTAACCACAAACCAAAGACAGTGCAGCTCACGTGGTCCCAAGCACTGGCCACCTTACACACACACACACACACACATATATGCACATATTATTTCCACAAGATAACCCCCATTTCGGATTGATCCCAGCAGGATGGCACATTCCCTTTACAGGGATTTAATTTCCGGCTCCTGACCTTTGGATATAAAAACCCCACAAAACCCCCGGAGTGAGTCATCTCCTCCGGCCGGGTTTCCATTCCTGCTGGCATCTTTCCCCAGTGTCAGGGTGATGGTGAGGAGAGGACGGCTCAGAGTCACCAGCAGCAGAAATAATTGAGTGTTCGGGATCAATACCGGGCTGAAAAATTCACCAATATGATCTAATTGCAGAAATATCCCCCGTATTGAGCTCATCCCCCTCTGAACGGGGAGCTCTGGCTGCCAGGCGAGGGAGAGCACCTTTCCTCTGTTTTAAGGCCATGTTAATTATGCAAATGACATTTAAATCCTCTTGACTCGGTGCAAAATAAAAGTCACACATTCCAGATACGCAGCCAACGACCAGAACAGCGCGCTTAAACACACACCCCCCCAGCCCCCCAAATAAAAATCCCCAAGGAGTTAATACAAACGTGGGTGACCTGATTGCAAGGGGGGGGGGAGCTGGTGGTCCCTGACGGCCTGAACCACCCGTTCCTCCCCTCCCCACGCACAGCAGATTGCAAAATCAAGGTCAGGAATTTAAAGAGAATAGTTAAAAATGGATTGTCTTTGGGAGGAAGCAGAGTTTGTTCTAGGGCTGGAGGGGAGGGCGTTCAGCCAAGAGAAATATGCCCCCCCCAACTCTTCTTTCCAAGCCTGTGGGATGGAGCAGTCACCGGATTTGATGGTCCTTCAGTGAGGTTTTTAGGGACAAACCAGCTCTGGGTGCTCCCGGGCAGGTTTAGGTGACCAGGTGGGAGCAGGAGATGTCCCAGAGAGCGGGAGGGACCCCCGGGACCCCCCCGGCGTGGAGCAGAACCTGTCGGTGCGGTCGATCCCGGCGCCGGGGCACGAGGCTAATTCCGCTCGGGCTCTTCGGGACCCGTGATTTTTCCAAACAGCGACCGATACAGCTCCGTCCTGGGGAAAAGAGGAAGGAGAAGGGGGCAAAAGTTACTTTTCAAGGTCAAAAACGGAAGCAAGAGGCTGCCAGGAAAACCATCCGCTCCTTAAAACGAGCCCTCGTATAATTAAAAATGCATTCAACAATCTTTATTAATAAATAGAGGCAAAGGGGAGAACTTGCATAAGACCAATCACACGCAGTACAGAAATATGTAAATATTTCAGTGTGGCTGGATACCACATCTCCAGAGAATGAGGTTTTTCTATAAGTTTGCCCTTTACAGACAGGCTCTTCAAGTAAGAAAACAAGATTGAATATTTTAATAGGATGTAGGAGACTGCAGAGCCATAAGGAGGATTCAATCAGACAGGCTACGTGGGACTATAATTTAGTTTTCATACATTTTCTTGGACTTGACGGTACTTGAAAAACAATGAAAATGACCCAGCAACAAGATTCCAATTAATATCACACATGCAGCAATTCTGATAACAGGAGCAAGTTTCCCTTTAAACAAAAAAAAAAAAAAAAAAAAAAAAAGTGGGCTGGTGTTATTTAGTTTTAATTTTAAAACCAAAGTAACCCGAGAAGAGAGACGGGGAAAGGAGAGAGCATTTTTATAAATCATGTGTTTCTGGAAACCAAGGAAATAGCATTGGGAGAGCCTTATTTTCTACAAAGACACTTTCTGAAGCAACAGCCTGAAGGGACTGGGCACACGGAAGAGGGTTGGCTACACGGAGGATGGTGTTTTTCCTTCGGAGCACACTTAGAGCCCAACCAACCCATCCCATCCCATCCCAACCTGAGGGGTCATCAGTGCCTGGGACAGCAGCCGTTGCAGAAGCTGGGAAAACTGTCAGGACAGGCAGAGAAAAGAGACTTCTGCACCGCTCAAGAGTCAGTAAAATACAGCTCCAAAGGCTGAAGCTCAGACCTGACAGTGACACAGTGATTTTTGGCTGCCTCCTCAATTAAGCCACAACAGGGACCACCTCTCACCAGGGCCGCGCTGATGCCTCCCTCCTTCCCAGATCAATAAAAGATGGCAACTGGTCTGAAAACTGCTTCTTGCAGACACTTCCACTGGAGAGAGTCACCTGTGAGGCTCGGGACGAAGGAACCCCTCGGTGTTGAACAGTGATGGCACAAAAATGCCAGCCATTAACACCGGGAAGATGAGGAACGAAGTTCCAGCAACGCAGGAGGTGGACAGACGTCACGGACGACTGAGAGAGGGACACTTCTCTTAAATTAATTTTAATTTCAGAGCTAATTAACCAATCAGCTGCTCCACCCTCAGAAAACCAGTCTGTGGTCTCCTTGCCCGATGAAATGGTCAATGCCATGTTTTGTGTGCAAAGCCCAGCCGAGGTTCGGAAACCCCGGCCGGAGTTTCTGCGTTGAACCAGGAGCACACCCAGGGTTCGGCAGGTTTAACACAAGCACAAAATCAAAACACTTCCAGAAAACAGAACTGCTGCTTGAAAAGCTGAAAACTTTGAAACTTGAAATGGAGGAAAAAAAAAAAAAAAAGGATCTCTCACACATCCCCTCTCTTACACATCCCCTCTCTTACACATCCATTCCTTTTTCCACACTCCCCAGCAGCAGAGGGGAGTCCAAACACAATGGGAACATCCTGGGGAACCCCACAGAAATTAGCTCAAACCAGCAAGAGTTTCTGTATTTTCACAGCAAGCGGGCAAAAGCCAAAAGTACTGTTTCTTTGCAGCCCGTCTTGTCCTTTCCCACTGGTGAACCAGCCTCCTTGGGTTTTTGTCTTCATTTTTGATAGTCTTCTGCTGGGTACAGGAGTTCAGGGCTCAACCCTGAATTTGCTCCAATCCTACAGATTTTAAATAAACAGTCATTTTTCAAGCAAGCGGGGCCCAGGGAGACTTCAAGGCAGAATTTCTCTTCTCCAGGCACTGCCAGCACTGCCAGACTCCGGCACTTGCACCCCGGGTTTCGTGGGGCTCAGACAGGCCCCCACGGCCCCCTCCTGCCAGTCACGGCGCCGGCAACCTCCACCAAAGGGAAAATTCATTTGGAGCTGTTTGGATAATAACACAGCATGGACAGACACCCTGGCAGAGAGTGACAGGAGGAGGGAAACCAGGTAACCCCATCACCCCCAAAACAGAACAGATATTTTTGCCCTAGTAAAAAAAAAATAACAACACAACCCAACCTTTTTTTTTTTCCCTCTTCTCATCATCTAGGCTACCTTTCTGCTACAGCATCTCCCCTCAGCAGGATTTAACCATGCAGAGAGTAAAACTCATCAATCCTCCAGGTTTAACCTTGTCTCTGTTTCAATTCACCAGGGTAAGTGTGGATTTTAATACTTTCAGCCCCCTTAAGGCTACGCATAATGAACTTGGATTTTGGTTAAAAAAATATAAAATTTCTCTCCTCCACCCCCACATATTAAACCTCGGACTTGAGCCACTGAGTTGAAACAACCCACCCCACTGCGAGCCCCCCATCCCCAGCCAGAGGAAAGGTGACTTTAGCACAAAGAGGCACCGGAGCACTGCGCCGGGGAACGACCTGCGCCAGTAATTAACGGTACTCACACCTCAGGTGGAGAGTGTGGAAGAAGCAGGTCGATACAGGGGTCTTCCTTGAATTAAAATTTAACTTACCCTTTATTGCAACCTACAAAAGCAAGTAATGAGCACTAACATTTTTATTTCTTTTAAACTGTCATTTAGGCTGTAGAGGGGATAATTACCTATTTCCACTGTAGTAAGGTTTTATCACCCTTAGTGAGGCATTTTCTAATTTAATATTTTTACTATATTATCATAAAACCTGTTTCTGGAAAAAATGATCATGAACCACACAGCCATTTGCCATAAAACATGTGTGTGTAAGTACCTTGGCTTAATTATTTATGCATTTCTTCTGAGCTGACTCCAAAGGCAGTGGACGGTGCCGGCAGCGCTGTGCCCAGCCACTCGCCCCCTCCCAGCACCACGGGCACCCACAAAGTTTGCCCGGCCCCTTCTCTCAACGCACCAGCAGCCCGAGACAAAAGGTCTAAGCGAGGGAGGTGTTTTATTCTGCTCTCCATGTCCTGGTTTGGTTGGGAGAATCCCGGTATCGGTGCGATTTGCGATCCGGCCGTGGTGGGCAGGGCGAGGAAGGGATGCTCCGGAGCTGCTCCAGCCGTGCCACCGACCCCAGGGAGGGCTTTTTCCCCCCAAACCCCAAGCTCGAGTGTCTTCCCGTTGGTGGTGTGATGGTGTGACACCCCCCCAGCCCTGGCAGGGTCACAGCATCACCGCCGGCTGCGGGGAGCCCCCCCCTCCACGCACGCTCCGCAGACAAAGGAGCCGGCGCCGCACGGGAGAGGGGACACAGACCCCCAGCCCCTGCAAAGCCCCCACTCCACGCTGGTGTGGAAACACTGACCAGCTCCCCACCAGAGAAACTGGTGATTTCACATCAACAGCAGTATTTAAAATGAAAAAAATAAATAAATAGCAACAACTACTTCACGCGGTTTGTCCTAATTGCGCTAATTGTCCGCTGGGCTTCACCTCCCTCCAAATCCCTGGAATTGCTACTAAACACACATTAGAGGCAAAATCCTTGCTACAGAGAGCACGGGAACACACAGGCAGAGGGCAGGAGTGCCCTGGGTGAATATTAACAGCAAGAGCACATTTGATAAATATGTGAATCATCAAAATATAAATCACAGAACCTGCTCAGAGTTGCCCAGGAACCCACCCTGCCCACCTGCACCACCCCAGCAAACATACAAACCAAACACACACCTGCCCGGGGAAAGGGAGACCAGCTAATGCTGCACTACTTCCTTTGTTTAATTATAGTCATCTTGAGTTTTTTTCCATATAGTTCTGTAAATTACTAAAAGGGGGGAAAATTCAGTCTCTGGTGTTTGGGTTTTTTTTTCAGAGTGCTGTTGATGTGGCAATGCTGCCCGAGTCGCTGCTGTGCTGTTTTTATAAAAACACCCTCCAACAAATTCCTCTACCTTTTCCCATCTACCTTTTACGTCTTCTCTTCTTCCAGGCAAAAAAAAAAAAAAGAAAAAGATGATAATTTAGAATATGCCCCAAGCAATACTACCCCATTCCTACTGACATCCTCCACTGGGAGCAATGAATTTTTAATTCACAAAAACTGGCGGAAGATGGAGCATGAACGGCCACGGACGGGGGAAGGAAACCCACGTCCTGTGATGAAATCTGAAGCTGGCTGTGCCAATCATTTCCTTGGAAAACTTTTCTGTCTGCCCTCTAAGGAATCTTTTGTCTGCCAGCAGGAAATTCAGATTGCTAGGTGCCCAGCAAGCAGAGCAGGTACCCAGGGAAAGAAAGCAAGGTGAAGCCTTTCATTTATCAATTTCTAGTCGAAGGCATTACCCTAAGTGTGGGGTGGGGTTTGGCTCTCTATTCGCACACCTTCCGACACGTGTTGCCCACGCTGGTATGTCCAACGTGACAAACCCAGGCTGTGGGTGATGCTGTGGAGCAAAACGAGCAGCGGCAATCCTCAGAGCAGAATTAAAACACCCATGTTTTTTAAAGTGAGGTTTCTGAAATGCAGAGCAGAGTGTCGGGTGTCTGGCCTGTGGTGCGGTGCGGTGTGATGTGGTGCAGTGCAGTGCACTGTGATGTTGTATGGTATGGCATGGCATGGTGCGGTGTGCTGCAACACGATGCAGTATGGTGTGGTACAGAGAGATGGGGTACGGTGTGATGTGTGATGCGGTACGGTGCGGTGAGATGTGGTATGGTGCGATGCAGTGCAGTGAGATGCAGTGCAGTGGGATGTGGTATGGTGAGATGCAGTTCAGTGTGGTATGGTGTGATGCAGTGCAGTGTGATGCAGTGTGGTGTGATGTGGTACAGTGAGATGCAGCGCAGTGTGGTACAGTGTGATGCAGTGCAGTGTGATGCAGTGTGGCGAGATGCAGTTTGGTGTGGTGTGATGCAGTACAGTGAGATGCAGCATGGTGCACTGCGGTGCAGGT